CGAAACGAGCCTGGGAAATAAAGCCGGGCTTATGAATGAAGTTTGTGTCAAGGTAAGCCAAGATTCCCTTCAGCACCACAAACAGCGCTTTGATGAAACTTTCAGCAGCGGTTTGATTTTTCTCTTTAATCTCGGGCCGCTCTGCGCTGTGTGTTCTCCAGAGCAGCACCCACCACGAGCAGAGGGGTGGGAGAGACCCTCCCGAAAATGGGAGACCCTCCCGAAAAAGGGGAGACCCTCCCGAAAATGAGAGACCCTCCCGAAAAAGGGGAGACCCTCCCGAAAATGAGAGACCCTCCCGAAAAAGGGGAGACACTTCCGAAAAGGGGAGACCCTCCCGGAAAGGGGAGACCCTCCCGAAAAAGGGAGACCCTCCTGAAGAGGGAGACCCTCCCGAAAAAGGGGAGACCCCCCCGAAAAGGGGAGACCCTCCCGAAAAGGGGAGACCCTCCCGAAAAGGAGAGACCCTCCCGAAAAAGGGGAGACCCTCCCGAAAAGGGGAGACACTCCCGAAGAGAGGAGACCCTCCCGAAAAAGGGAGACCCTCCCGAAAAGGGGAGACCCTCCCGAAAAAGGGAGACCCTCCCGAAAAGGGGAGACCCTCCCGAAGAGAGGAGACTCTCCCGAAAAGGGGAGACCCTCCCGAAAAGGGGAGACCCTCCTGAAAAGGGGAGACCCTCCCGAAAAGGAGAGACCCTCCCGAAAAAGGGAGACCCTCCCGAAAAAGGGAGACCCTCCCGAAAAGGGGAGGCCCTCCCGAAGAGAGGAGACCCTCCCGAAAAGGGGAGACCCTCCCGAAAAGGGGAGACCCTCCCGAAAATGGGGAGACCCTCCCGAAAATGGGAGACTCTCCCGAAAAGGGGAGACCCTCCCGAAAAGAGGAGACCCTCCCGAAGAGAGGAGACCCTCCCGAAAAGGGGAGACCGTCCCGAAAAAGGGAGACCGTCCCAAAAAAGGGAGACCCTCCCGAAAAGAGAGACCCTCCCGAAAAGGGGAGACCCTCCCGAAAAAGGGAGACCCTCCAGAAAAGGAGAGACCCTCCCGAAAAAAGCGAGACCCTCCCGAAAAAGGGAGACCCTCCCGAAGAGGGAGACCCTCCCGAAAACGGGGAGACCCTCCCAAAAAAGGGGAGACCCTTCCGAAAAAGGGAGACCCTCCTGAAATGGGGAGATCCTCCCGAAAAGGGGAGACCCTCCCGAAAAAGGGAGACCCTCCCGAAGAGAGGAGACCCTCCCGAAAAGGGGAGACCCTCCCGAAAATGGGGAGACCCTCCCGAAAAAGGGAGACTCTCCCGAAAAGGGGAGACCCTCCCGAAAAGGGGAGACCCTCCCGAAAAAAGGGAGACCCTCCCGAAAAGGGGAGACCCTCCCGAAGTGAGGAGACCCTCCCGAAAAGGGGAGACCCTCCAGAAAAAGAGGAGACCCTCCCGAAAAGGGGAGACCCTCCCGAAGAAGGGAGACCCTCCCGAAAAAGGGAGACCCTCCCGAGGGTTCCAGGCTGAGAATCCTCGGGTTTGGGTGCAGGGGAAAGCTCAGCTCGGGGTGTTGGGTGTGAGCAGAGGGATGAAGCCTTGACACTGGTACTGGGACTAACAGAGCCTTCCTCTGGGATGGAACGGGCTGGGAAGGGCTTGGGAAGGGTCCCGACCCCTCCCGTGGGTGCTCTTTGCTCCCCGGGAAGGGCTGAGGTCCTGAATCACAGGAGGAGGAGCAAAGCCGGCTCACAAATGGGAATGATGGCCCTAAAAGGTCCTGA